TACGGATACCAACGCTCTTTTTGAAGGCTGGTAAAGATCTTTAAAAAAGTCAGAGAAAATAAAGCCATGGTGATAATACCTCAAAATTTCTACTTTCCATAGTCTTGACTCAAAACGAAACTATTTTTCGATGAAATCATAGATTGTATTAAGATAAAACTCACGCATCAACGAATAGGATAATCGCATCATCACGGTTCTTGTATTTTTTCAATCCTTCTTGCAACAGTCGTATCTTTTGTCCGCCGCCCTGGAGCAACTCAAGTCGTACTTAGAGGGCTCCATTGAACTGAGCTCTTACCTGTGCTACCCTAGTGTCCCCACCTTTCCACTCTTCACCCATTCCAAGCACTTGCACTTTTATGTTGAATTCTTCCGCTGATTTCAGAAGGCGTCGCAGGCCGTCAGTGTCCTCGGTGGCTACAGTAACCACGATGAGTTCCGGTTCATAGCGGCAAAGTGAAAGCGCCGGTAGCAGAAATGCTAGCAGTAATGGCAGCATCTGTAAAGTGGGGTTGGTACTTAGCAAACAAGGAATTTACGAACACCTTCATCAACGTTTTAAAACTTGATGAGAAAAGAGAGCTTGAAATATTTTGAAGGTCCAAATATTGCGGGTTTTTTGGAGCTGCTAAGTTGCTAGAATTGAAGTTTTGCGAGTCAGTGTTCCATATTCTCCCATCATTTTCACCTCAGAAAAAACTGAGAAACTGCGACAATGGCTGAACCAAAATTCGTTCGCACCATTTGCAAGAAATCGTAACTTCTTTATATCTCAATGATATTTACAATAAATTTTCTTGAAAATAATAAATAATTCTCTTCTTTTTTCTCCTTGTTCTTTTTGAGGGTACCTCCTAGGCTAAAGCACTGGAGGCAAGATATAAATGAAAGAATGAGATCATCCTAGCTTAATTTTAAGTGATTTCAAGCAAACCGTCAGTTAAGGAAGGATGGAAATAATCATGCATAAAATTCAAAAACAGTTGGTTCAATAGGCAGATCTCTTTTTCCAACTATCCAAAGTTTGTTCTAATCGCGTTTCAAAAAAGCTAAAAAAATTTTCCCGTCTTCTGGCATTCCCGTCTTCGTTTCTGGCATTCTTCTCGAAAATCATAACTTTCATAGAAATGCTTTCACAAATGCACATTAGAAAGAGGCAACTCTAAAACCTTTGAAAAACACAAACTTTGCACAGTAAAGAAAAGGAAGCAACCTTAAATATTTACCATCTATCTATGATTTTCTTGCAACCTTTCAATTCAATTTGACAAAAATTTCCTCCTAGCGCTTTGCTACCACTTCTATGACGAGAATCTAGAGAGCAGGGAATTACATGAAGAATAATTTGGTCAAACAAGCGTGACAATCTTTCTTCTAGCTTTCGATGCGATGATATTGACATATACGTGATAACATCTTTATCATCACCTCCCGCGTAATTTCAAGTGGATAACCATCGCATAAAGATTTCCTAGTAGCAAATATCAATTTTTGGAGACGATGGCGGAAAAATCTTTCATTCTACTTGACTTTTTGTTAGAATGACGCACCTAATCATGAAGTAAAATACAATTCCTGGATTTCAAAAATAGAAAGTCTCCATAGGAGAATGGCACGATAAAGTCAAATTGCGAACAGCTCAGAGAACTTATGATTGATGAAGCTTACTGCTTTTCTAGTGGAGCTGATTTTTTTCCACTGAGTAAAGCTTATCACTTTTCACACTGAGGGCACTTCACGGGAAGTTAACTTGCAAAGTTGTGTGAGGGTAACGGATATTTTGATAAAGAATTTCTTTATTAACGTATAATGGAGTGACACAATGTATATGCAGATTTTGAAGAATTATCCCTGAGGATG